AGCGGTGAAGGAAAACATGCGCAAGGAGATTGAGGAGATGCTGCAACTGGGGGTGACAGTCCGATAGCCCCTGGGCCTCCCCTGTAGTCCTCGTACCCAAGCGAGATGGCACAACTCGCTTCTGCGTGGACTACCGGAGGTTAAACGAAAAGACGGTATCAGACGCATACCCTATGCCCCGGATAGAGGAATTGCTAGACCGGATGGCCAGAGGTCAGTACCTCACGACCATTGATCTCTGTAAAGGGTATTGGCAGATTCCCCTGGCACCCGAGGCCATCCCTAATTCCGCTTTTGTCACCCCATTCGGTTTATACCAATTCAAAGTAATGCCGTTTAGGATAAAAAACGCACCCACCACCTTCCAGAGGATGGTGGACCGACTCCTGGATGGATTTCAGGATTACACTTGTGCTTATTTAGACGACATAGCTATCTTTAGAAAAAAAGGGATATGAGGACAATAAATTAGAAGAAGCTAGGATACAAGTTAAAAAGACAGAACGGAGCGATCTCTTAAGATATAAGAATCGAACACAACATAATATGGAAGGAGTACCTTTTATTTGCAATTACAGTACTGAGAATTTTAAAATTAGGAATGTTATAAAAAGATTCTGGCCGATTTTGCGTCAGGACCCAATATTAGAAGATATTCTACCACCTCAACCACAGTTCATCCACAGAGGAGTAAGGAATCTACGTAGCATGCTTACATCCAGTTTTATTAGGGAAAAGAAAAATAATAATACGTTTTTTCAACAAGAAAAAGGTTTTTTTGGCTGTGGATATTGTCTAGCGTGTAAAAGAACGGGAAATAAAAAAAGGAAAATCACACACTTTATGAATAAAGATAAGAAAGAATACGAAATTAAAGATGCAATTACATGTCACACAAATAATGTGATTTATGTAATACAATGCCCCTGTGAATTAAATTATGTGGGTAAAACCACTAGGCCACTCCATGTAAGAATCGAGGAACACAGTAGAAATATTATTAAGGGAGGAGAGAATCATAGTGTACCCCTCCATTACAAAATACACCACGACCAATCACCGTTAGGCAGCCTATTTTTAGGTTTAAGTAGAGTGGAAAAAGATTGGAGAGGGGGAGATTTTAATCAGAGATTGAGTAAGGAGGAGATGAAGTGGATTTTTGAATTGAATACTCTTACCCCTTATGGTTTAAATTCGGATTTTGAAATTTGTCACTTTTTAAATTAATTATATTCTTCTTATAGTTCATGGATTATATATGCCTATCACAGAATGTATAGACTAGAGATGAGAGTAAATAGATATTTTAATTATCATAGATATACATATTTCTTCTGTATAGGTGATTTTTGAAAATCATTGTTCTTGATAGAATCACATCAATTATATATTGCACAATAAGGTACATTTCTTTACAACATGAGACATGGAATTTTTTTTTATTTTTTTATTTTTTTTTTTTTTTTATTATAATTGCTATTAAATATTATGAGAATTATTTATTCTGTGGGTACTGTATTAAACTGGAGATATTGTTCTTACTAGATCTCATACATAGGGTTTTTACCAGTATGAGTATCATTGATATCACTATTTTTACTTAAAGAATGTGATAAATGAGAAATTTTTATGTATTTTTTATGTATATGCATTTTGTATAAGAGTTACTTTCCTTGTTACATGTGCACAATTTAGTTATGGACACATACAATACTTTGATATAGTAGTCATTCGATGAGAAATACAAGAGATACATCTGGGAAATATGGAAACTTTGTTATGGAAATCAGATGCACTCGGTACGAGAGACTAAGCACGGAGGAATTGTAGCGTGACGTCATATGCGGAAGTGAACCGCAATGAGAAAGAGGCTTGGAACGCATAGGGTCGGCTAGCCGGAAGAAAGAACATCAGCGCGCCAAAAACAACATCGGAACGCCGAGCCCTAAAGTTGCAGACAAGATATAAGAGCAGGACTTCTGTAAGTAGGAGAATTTGTTTGTGATTTTTTTCACCCAGCTGAGGAAGCCAACAGTAGTGTGGCGAAACGCGTCCTGGGGATTGTTTTATATTGCCTTTATGCCCAGATTTTTATATTACTGTATATTTATCATATTTTGTTTTTATTGATTCTAATTGGCCATTAGAATTTTTAATACAATAAACACATTTTTGTGTTATTAATACTGGGATATCGGTTCCTGCTATTAGGTGTGTAGTCCTTAACTACACAACGTTTTGGAAAAGAGCCTAAGAGGATGGCTCCAGACTTGTGAGTATATATGCACATTTTTTTACTGTACAAACGGATTTGAAACTATATTGCACCATATATATCTCTGCTTGAGCCCTAGCCGCAACAGGGAATTTGTCATTTGGATGAAAGAAGGTGAAAGGTCGCCTTTACGGACCTGAAGGTGTATACCCCTGAGCTTGGTCGTAAGCTCAGTAATATGTGAGTGGTTCCATAAATAGAGTTTACATTGTGTCAAAAGTATTTTTTACAGTGTTGCACTAAGTATATTCTAATTTTCTCTTTAGAATAAGATCCATATACCACTGAGAAAATAATGATCGACAAGAACGACAGTTAAAACAATTGGACTTCAATTTGTATGTAGCGCTTCACCTTTCGTTATTTTTGTTTTGTGGTTGGTGTATATGGAAAGATTACACGTGGTGATATAGCAGCTAATAGCATAGTTATATACTGTGGAATTATTGTATAGCGCCAGTATATTATTCTTTTTTATCTTTAGCAACACTTGGCAGGAACATTTGACCCACATAGGGGCGGTATTGGATAGGATTAGAGAAGCCCGATTAACCCTGAAGCCGGCCAAATACAGTATAGGTATGGCGGAGGTACAGTACCTCGGACACAGAGTAGGGTGTGGGAAACAGAAGCCCGAACCCGCCAAGGTAAAGGCAGTAGCCCAATGGCTCACCCCCAGGACAAAAACTCAGGTCCTTGCCTTTCTAGGGACCGCTGGATATTACCTGGCCAAACCCCTTACTGACCTTACCCGCAAGAACTTACCCCGCCAAGTAACCTGGACCCCGGAGTGTGAGAAGGCCTTCCAACTGTTGAAAGATGCACTTGTCAATGCCCCTGTCTTGGCAGCTCCCAATCCAACTAAACGTTTTCTTGTTCACACAGACGCTTCTATGTTTGGATTGGGGGCAGTATTGAGCCAAGTCGGGGCCGATGGCGGCAAACATCCCGTAGCATACATCAGCCGGAAACTACTACCCAGAGAAGTGAGCAACGTCGCCATCGAGAAGGCTGTGGTGTGGGCCTTAAAGAAGTTTCAACCTTATTTGTACGGACAGTCTTTCTCCCTGCTCACGGATCACAACCCGTTGGTTTGGTTAAACCGGGTGGCAGGAGACAATGCCCGGCTGTTACGCTGGAGTTTGGCGCTACAGCCGTTTGACTTTAACATCCAGTACCACCCGGGAAAACAGAATGGCAATGCCGACGGGTTGTCCAGACAAACTGACCTTGAACAATGATCCATGAGCCATCCGGACATCCCCAAGCCGATCCGTGTGGGATCAGACTGTGTATGCCGGCTTGTGGGCAAGGGGGAGCAGTGTAGCGGATGGCCTGTGACTGTCCGCCAGAATTATATGTTAAAAGACTGTTCGCATGGTTTTACTGAATGTACATTGAAAATTGTATCTAAGTTCGTATGTTAGTTCAGTAGTTTCCTTCATAATTATACGAATGGAAACTACCGAATGCATTGACCACCTTAGAGACGAAGTGTGTCCCTAGTTAAACCCTTATTCCCTTTTTAACCGCAGCTAATTGAGGTTTTATTGCTGTATCTGGGTGGCTGCCATTCGGTAGACGAACACGTGGCGGCGGCCATCTTACGAACGAACTCTCAGCGGTGTTTGGTTGTCGAGTGTCTGGAACCCAAATCGGACACTCGATTGCGCGAACCCGCTGAGACCTCCAGAGCTCCAGAACTCGCGAACGGAGGGGGTAATCGAACAATGGGGTTCGTGCGAACCCGGGATTATCTATGGATGGCAAGGATTTAAGTCTGTTTCATCTCCCGAACGAAGACCGACCGCAGGGCCATAATACATGGAACTCCTTTCGGCTACCTATTCGTGTGCGGTCGGTCAAATTGTTTATTGTCTATAACTCCCGAACCCCTGGTCTGATCTGGGTGAATTTTAAGTATGTTGGTCACCCAGACCAGAGCTACAAGGGGATGCCACTTAGGTCCTGGTACCCCACGGTTTTGGGGGCATCCAAGAAACAGGGGAAAAGGTGCCAGGATTAAGTGGATTAAGTGTCATTCTGAGGGGAGGGAAAGTAGGGGAGGGAACCTCTGTATCATTGGTTACTGTTGTAATTACTGTAAATCCCTCCCTTGCATGGGAGAATCCTTTATAAGGAGCTGCTGTGAATAAATCTTTAGTTCTGCTCCTGATGCTGTGTGTCATCCAGTCATTGGGATGGCGTTTGGGATATTATTGGAGACTTTTTGCCTGCTGGAATTATTACTCTGTGGATTTATTATACTTGTTCCTGAGCCTTACTGGGATCTAAAGTGGAGATAGGCTATGCAATACTAGCTCTCCACTACAATCGGCATGCTCAGATTTTCGTTGTTTTTTTGGAACGTCTTCTTCATTGTTGCTTTCTCTGTTTCTTCTCTTCCTGTTGATTGCTTCAGGAGAACACGAAGGACCTGCTGTTGGCTTTGATGGTTCCACCTTCCATTTCTTTCCTGCAGTATTTGGTTCTTTAATCTCGCCCTCTCTGTTTCTTCTCTTCCTGTTGATTGCTTCAGGAGAACATGAAGGACCTGCTGTTGGCTTTGATGGTTCCACTTTCCTTTTCTTTCCTGCAGTATTTGGTTCTTCAATCTCGCCCTCTCTTTCTTTTCTTCCTATTGATTGCTTCAGGAGAACATGAAGGACCTGCTGTTGGCTTTGATGGTTCCACTTTCCTTTTCTTTCCTGCAGTATTTGGTTCTTCAATCTCGCCCTCTCTTTCTTCTCTTCCTATTGATTGCTTCAGGAGAACATGAAGGACCTGCTGTTGGCTTTGATGGTTCCACTTTCCTTTTCTTTCCTGCAGTATTTGGTTCTTCAATCTCGCCCTCTCTGTTTCTTTTCTTCCTATTGATTGCTTCAGGAGAACATGAAGGACCTTCTGTTGGCTTTGATGGTTCCACTTTCCTTTTCTTTCCTGCAGTATTTGGTTTTTCAATCTCGCCCTCTCTCTCTTTTCTCTTCCTATTCTTTTCTGGATTTGATAGCTTCATCCATTTGGGGTTTATGTAATTAAATCCTTCGAATTGTTTTTGGAAAGATGAACCAAGTTTAAACTCTAAGGCAGGTAAAAGTGACAGCGCCTCCTCAGTGGTGACAATTTCCATGAAGCTTTCCAAGGATGATCTCTACAGAGAAAGAATATAAACATTGATATTAGAATAACCATGAAAGGTAAACAATTAGGGATGCACCAAAATGAAAATTCTGGTCCGAAACCGAAAATTCAGGATGCCCTTTGCCAAAAACCGAAACAGAAAATGACTTTTTTCCCCCCAAATGATTTTAAAATAGTTTTTTTTTCTATAATATTTTTATTAATATTAGACTTTATAATTAATTGAATGAATCTAATATTCTCTTTTAGTGTTCCCCCTGCCCCAGGGGTATGTTTCCCTTCCATGTACCTTAGTCCACCCCCCCTTAAATGTTTGTCTCTCCCCCCTCTAGTGTTCCTCTTCCCTCCTTTTTTTTTAGTCTTCTTTCCTCCCTAGTCCCATAGTGTTCTTTCCCCCCTCCTCCCCCGGCCCATAGTGTTCTTTTCTTATCTTTCATTGTGATATATATTCATCTGAATTGTCAATGCAAGCATGTCTGTTAAACTATGCACTGCATAAATAAAAAATATTTAAAAAAAACTACATTTTGGCAAATTTGACCCATTTTCGTCCGTAATGATAGGCCCATTTTCGGCCGAAAATTTTGGTGCACCCCTAGTAAAAATGGTTCAGTTTTTCATCTTTCAACATTTATTTATTAAAGCATTTGATTGTGTCAATATGTGAAGCATTAATAAAATTCTGGATGTCCTATATTATCTTCCAAAAGTGATAGCTAAACAGATATACTGATGCTTTAAAGGGACACTATAGTCACCTGAACAACTTTAGCTTAATGAAGCGGTTTGGTGTATAGAACATGCCCCTGCAGCCTCACTGCTCAATCCTCTGCCATTTAGGAGTTAAATCCCTTTATTTCTGAACCCTAGTCACACCTCCCTGCATGTGACTTGCACAGCCTTCCATAAACACTTCCTGTAAAGAGAGCCCTATATAGGCTTTCTTTATTGCAAGTTCTGTTTAATTAAGATTTTCTTATCCCCTGCTATGTTAATAGCTTGCTAGACCCTGCAAGAGCCTCCTGTATGTGATTAAAGTTCAATTTAGAGATTGAGATACAATTATTTAAGGTAAATTACATCTGTTTGAAAGTGAAACCAGCTTTTTTTTCATGCAGGCTCTGTCAGTCATAGCCAAGGGAGGTGTGGCTAGGGCTGCATAAACAGAAACAAAGTGATTTAACTCCTAAATGACAGTGAATTGAGTAGTGAAATTGCAGGGCAATGGTCTATACACTAAAACTGCTTTATTTAGCTAAAGTAATTTAGGTGACTATAGTGTTCCTTTAATATTTAGCATTTTATTCATGTACTTACATTGCATAATGCGACAGGGGGAGATACATTTCCAGCCTCCAGCTCCTGCCAGTCTATAGATTTAAAAAAGGGGTGGCTGCGAATATCCCCTTTTTTTCCCAGGCGCTGGGATGGGTCTATACACAGGAGCTGTAAAGAGAAACAGAAGAATATATAAATCTGCTCCTGCCTACAAAACAATATCTATCAAATAAAAATGTATGTTTTCATTTTAAAAACAAAATACAGTATGTTTTGTGGGCATTTTAGGAAGTAAAGCTTAGGAATTACCATTTTAGTTTTTTCATTTAATTCAGTACAGTTTCGCAGGGCTGGGAGTAAGTAGCGGTGAGCCTCTTACCCCAGGTCGGGAGATTGGCTGCCTCTCCCACCGTAGGAGCTTCAGCTTCAGTAGGCCGTGGGTCCGGATAGCCCAATTACTCGATGGAATGTCTTGCCTGGCTAGTAGTCAGGCTGCTAGTTGCTCTGGGTTGCTGCCCCCTTTACTGCAGCCATGCAGACAGGTTAATAGCCCCGAAGTGGCAGGAGCTGAGAAAAAGTGCGTCCGGCCATGTTAGGAGTCAGGCCCCGCACCCCAGGGTGAGATTTTTGTTTGCCATCTTTACCCTATTTGATATTGTACATTTTTACATATAGTAATTATACAATACACAGTATGTACATAGCTGAGGGGATGTTCTAACTTATGTAAGTACATTAAGTCCTTACAATCTGGCTATCGTCATTATCTGAGGGAAATAATGCTACATAAAATTGCTTCCTGTAGATATACATTCGCTCCCTTATAAATTAACAACTATTTATACTTCTCATAAGCGTTCTATGTAAATCAGGAAATATCGGCTATCTGACACCTGTTTAATAACACAGTTCCATTTAGTTTTTTCTATTCCATGATAATATCCTATAGCCCAAATTCAAGCTGACCTTTTCTATTATATCGCGTGTGTCAGCGCTGAGATCCTTAGGATACTCTGGTGTGTAAATGTCCGATAATCTGGTCTTTGTTCTCCATGGTTTCTCATAAAAAGGATGATATCCCACAGCCATCTCGTAGATAATCACCCCCAATGACCACCAATCCACGCACGCATTGTACTTTTCACTGTTCACAATCTGCCAGAAAACATTGAGAGAAAAATAATTGGTAAACTCGACTCATAGAATAAAAGTATTATAAGGTATTGTAGGGCGGAGGGAGATATAGAATGTGACAATAAGGCAAAAGGTAATATGAAATCAATTGTTAGAATTCCGTAGAATACATCTAGTATTTTATTATTACAATCTTAAGCTAACTCAATTAAATTCACAGCTTTTCCAGGATCAAGGATGTGTGAGTTCTGGAGTTATACAAATATACGGTAATGCATGAAAGAAATCAAATTCTCACTGCCCCATCATTTATTGTGGAATATTCTCTGTAAATATTACACTCACCTCTTTAATAAAATTGTGAGATATAACAACAGTTAAAGGACCACTATAGTGCCAGGAAAACAAACTCGTTTTCTTGGCACTATAGTGCCCTGAGGGTGCCCCCACCCTCAGGGTCCCACTCCCGTGGCTCTGAAGGGGGAGGAAGGGGGTTAATCCCTTACCTTTTTTCCAGCGCCGGGCTCCTTCGGCGCTGGGACTCTCATCCCTCTTCTGACGTCCCTGGCTGAATGCGCATGAGGGGCAAGAGCCACGCATGCATTCTGCCAGTCCATAGGAAAGCATTATCAATGCTTTCCTATGGACGCTGGCGTCTTCTCACTGTGAAAATCACAGTGAGAAGCCCTCCAGCGGCTGTCAATGAGACAGCCACTAGAGGCTGGATTAACCCTAAAGTAAACATAGCAGTTTCTCTGAAACTGCTATGTTTACAGCAGGCAGGGTTAATCCTAGCTGGACCTGGCACCCAGACCACTTCATTAAGCTGAAGTGGTCTGGGTGCCCATAGTGGTCCTTTAACAAAATAGAGAAGTGCTTGCCTACTAGTATCATTTTAACTAAAATGTAACGTTTAATATATTGATTCAAAGTACTGCTATTAGTAAATCAAAAGGTAAACTAGAAAAAAATTGATAATAAAACTATCACTAATGTAAAGCAAAAGATATAAAGAGAAAACAATATCAAATTATCCCAAAACATATAAGATTAGTTGATAATCAATTAGTATATTGCTGGAATTGCGTGTTTGAACAGATTTATGGTTTAACTCAATACAGAGCAGGATCAGCTGTACATTTTGACGTTCATTATAGTTCATGGCCCCAGGATAAGTTCTGTCATTACTCCAAAGTACAATACAAGTAACTGTTCATAATCCGTGTCAGTTTTTGGAGTTTATTCCCGAGTTAAGACTAAGCTCCGCTCATTCCACTGATGTCAGAATTACTTGTGTCACCCTCAGCTTTTCTTGTTGTTGGACTGTAGTGTCCCCTACTATGTACTTAGTATTTTTTCCTTATATTGCCTTTCAATATAATGTTTCTAATTAACATCCTGTAACATTGTGTACACTGCCAGAACCAACAATACAGGAGCTCTGCATTTAACATCCTGCACGAACTCCCACAACTCCCAGGCCTCACCGTTCACTCCCAGACCAACAATACAGGAGCTCTGCATTTAACATCCTGCACAAACTCCCACAACTCCCAGGCGTCACCCTACACTCCCAGACCAACAATACAGGAGCTCTGCATTTAACATCCTGCACGAACTCCCACAACTCCCAGGCCTCACCTTACACTCCCAAAACCAACAATACAGGAGCTCTGCATTTAACATCCTGCACGAAACTCCCACAACTCCCAGACCTCAACTTACACTACCAGACCAACAATACAGGAGCTCTGCATTTAACATCCTGCACCAACTCCTACAACTCCCAAGCCTCACCTTACACTCCCAGAACCAACAATACAGGAGCTCTGCATTTAACATCCTGCACGAACTCCCACAACTCCCAGGCCTCACCGTTCACTCCCAGACCAACAATACAGGAGCACTGCATTTAACATCCTGCACGAACTCCTACAACTCCCAGGCCTCACCTTACACTCCCAGACCAACAATACAGGAGCTCTGCATTTAACATCCTGCACGAACTCCCACATCTCCCAGGCCTCACCTTACACTCCCAGACCAACAATACAGGAGCTCTGCATTTAACATCCTGCACGAACTCCCAGGCCTCACCTTACACTCCCAGACCAACAATAGAGGAGCTCTGCATTTAACATCCTGCACGAACTCCTACAACTCCCAGGCCCAACAATACAGGAGCTCTGCATTTAACATCCTGCACGAACTCCTACAACTCCCAGACCTCACCTTACACTCCCAGAACAAACAATACAGGAGCTCTGCATTTAACATCCTGCACGAACTCCTACAACTCCCAGGCCTCACCTTACACTCCCAGACCAACAATACAGGAGCTCTGCATTTAACATCCTGCACGAACTCCCACAACTCCCAGGCCTCACCTTACACTCCCAGACCAACAATACAGGAGCTCTGCATTTAACATCCTGCACAAACTCCCACAACTCCCAGGCCTCACCTTACACTCCCAGACCAACAATACAGGAGCTCTGCATTTAACATCCTGCACGAACTCCCACAACTCCCAGGCCTCACCTTACACTCCCAGACCAACAATACAGGAGCTCTGCATTTAACATCCTGCACGAACTCCTACAACTCCCAGACCTCACCTCACACTCCCAGACCACGAACTCCCATTTGACGAATTCTCAGGATTTTGCTGCGAATCTCGCGAGATTGCCGGCGGCCATTTTCTAACACCCTATCCTTCAGTCTCTTTGCTATTCCTCGTGTCCTCTTCCTGTCTGCCGATCTGGGCCCTGGTGAGCTCCCTATCTCTACCCTCTAATAAGGTATAGCTAGTTTGGGGTGATTAACTCCTGCTAGCCTCTCTTTATTCCTATCATTTTAGTTTTAGCTTTCTACTCCCTGCAGCATATATAATTTTATATTTGGTGTCATTGGGATATCTCACAGCAAATTTATTATACCCAAGTCCAAAGTGACTGCCACCCCCCATACCCTGGGGAGATGTATATACCCCATGCTTTGGATAACCCCTCTGCCAGCTTTGGCCCCCCTTCCTCTGCAGGTGACCCTATGTCTGTTCCCGATGATGCCCACTCCCTGGCACTACAGCGCTCCGTTACGGACGCCATTATGGCCGCCATGAGCTCCATGTCCTCTGCCCTTTCCCAAACTATTTCACAAGCCTTACTGGCATGCCCTTTGGCCGCAGAAGGCTCGGCCACACCAACGCGCTTAGCGTGTTCTGCTCTAGAAGGGATGTTCCAAGAAAGGCAATGGCCAAAGCCAGGCACTTAAGTCCCCCTGCCTCCAGAACCAATATGACTGGTGTAACTGTGTCCACCCATGACAGCGTGTCAAGCTTGACAAAGGCCCTAAGGGGTCGAAATGTTGTTTGGTGCTTGGGTCCAATAAAAATTGCCTAATCGGTGGAACACCTTGTGCCTGGATTTCTTTTCTATATTTATATTTGACATTTGGTCCCTTTGGTACTGGGGCTTATCCAGTTCATTGCACCCAGGATTCCAGGACAAGGTATAGGTATAGAGTGCATTTTCCAATACCTATATTTGGATATGTCACGCAAGAGAGCCTTTCCGCACCAGACAGAACGGGTGCGGCAGTGGAAATGTGCTAGAGCACAAAAAGAGAGTGACTCCGACTCAGAAATCGGGTCTAGTGATTAGGCTGATGCTGAGTCCATATTTGAGTTGTTTCAGTACATCAATACATTATGTCTTGGCATGCGCAATTGGTTTAAGGACCGATTTAACGGTTAGGCTCCTGTTTTTTATGTTTTCACAGGTTGATTCTGCGCTGTTGGTGCTGTATAGAGACCCTCACTTCTTCCCAAGATTTCACCATGTTGGCTGGAGATCTATGGATGGTGCTGTGATTGACTCCTTGTTGTTGACGCTTCTTTATTGGTTGATGGTTTAGTCCCGGTTCGCAGATGGTTCCTGATCGGTATCCGGCTGGATTTCGGGATGGTTGTTCTACTGTATTCTGGACTGTTCTTCGGTTCCTGTTTGCTGGTTTGGTGTCGCATCTCCAAAGACAGAGAAATTGTGTGGGGAGGTGCTGACTATTATACTGGGACTTGGTATGGGAGTGGTCTATCACTATGGTTACTGTTTTTTCTTACTGTTTGTATTCTTTGCTGCTATTGGTAGACAGTAAAGAAAGCGTTAAGCAATACTCACCTCTGTGTCTTTCATAAAATCATGACTTTTCGTAATGAAATAGCAAAATCATGTAATTGTATACAACACATGGCTACTCTACCCTCTCCCCCTCCCTCCCTCCCTCCTCCCCCTTTTTCCTATGCTCCTCCCGGCTGTAAATACCTTCATATAACTGTTCCATCTCCATCTCTGTTCTTCAGACCTCACCTTACACTCCCAGAACCAACAATAAAGGAACATTTTTCCTCAGCACTATACACCCACCCTCCCCTCATCCCGCCCACCCAGGTTCCCCCTAAATATGTAGCATGCTCATCCAGCTGTTTAAGATTCTCACTCAATTACCTCTTCATTCCCTTTACATTTTACCAATAGCTGCAATTCTCTGTGAACTTCTTTTAGACATCACTTCCACATTTCCCCTGCTACCTCTTGTCTCAAATCCCAACTGTATCCTTTAGATTGTAAGCTCATGGGCAATCTAGCTGAGCACTCTGTATAAAAGAGGCTAGACATAGGCTTACGGGCAGTGCCCTCTCTACCTTTTGTATTTGACTGCGTATATTGTACATCCTCCACTAATTGTACAGCGCTGCGGAATCTGTTGGTGCTTTATAAATACCAGTAATAAATAAATAAATACAAAAATAAAATATGATATTGCACATTATTTATAATCTACTCCTCACCTCCGGAGCCATGTACATTTTTGTTCCAGCATAAGCTGTAGCTGTTTTATCTCCAAACATGTTTTCCAAAGAAACACCAAAATCGGCAATTTTAACGTTACCGTTTTTATCCAATAAGATATTTTCTGGCTTCAAGTCTCTGTAAAGATCACAGATCGTACAAATGAGTAATGAAGCTTTAAGATTTAGGAAAGATAATACATAATCATAAATTAAATGGAAGGACAGAAAATCTTCAGCCCAGACAAAAGATAAAATAATTACATATATTGGAAGGCATGGCCTGAAGTTGTGGGAGGGGCTATAGACCTATAAAAGGGACTCCCCCCTTTCCCTACTTACCTTTGTTGGTCAGATGAATAGACTGTTCAAGGTCAGCATTTGCATGAGATCCACTTCCAGGTCATACAAGACGCCATTTTGGTTTCACCTTTGCTCCATGAGGTCTCCTACTCCAAGCTGTGTCCAGGAATCCTGCAGCAGGGATTTCCATTAATCCAGTGGCTTTCTCTCCGGTCAGCATCGCATTTGGTGTCTCAGGGACTCACAAACCGTAAGTTGACCCACCTGTTGCGCCAGGATTAGTTCCCACGGCGTTCAACACAGCACGGGTCCTCACTTTACGGTTTCCTTTTGTTTTGCACGGTTATTTCGTTACCTTATACTCACCTAGCTGTTCATGTAAAATCTGTTGGTTAAAATCTGTTTTGGTTAAAAATCTGTTGGGTTAAAACTACAAACGACATACAATTTTTCGCCTACACACTGACCCCTATCGGTCATTCGATGTACTACAGGCTTCTCAGACATTATTGCATTTCATGTACGAACCAATGCATTTGTGCCTACACACTGACCCCTATCGGTCATCGGTGTACCACAGGTTTCTTAGACGTTTTTTGCACTTCATGTACAAACCACTGCATTTTCACCAAGACACTGACCCCTACCGGTCATTCTGTGTACTACAGGCATCTCAGACATTATTGCATTTCATGTACGAACCACTGCATTTGTGCCTACACACTGACCCCTATCGGTCATTGGTGTACTACAGGTTTCTTAGACGTTTTTGCATTTCATGTACAAACCACTGCATTTTCACTGCACTTTCACCAAGACACTGACCCCTACCGGTCATTCTGTGTACTACAGGCATCTCAGACATTATTGCATTTCATGTATGAACCACTGCATTTGTGCCTACACACTGACGCCTATCGGTCATCGGTGTACTACAGGTTTCTTAGACGTTTTTGCATTTCATGTACAAATCACTGCATTTTCACCAAGACACTGACCCCTACCAGTCATTTGGTGTAACTACAGGCATCTCAGACACTATTGCATTTCATGTACAAACCAACGAACCACTGCATTTGCGCCTACACACTGACCCCTACCGGTCATTCGGTGTACTACAGGCTTCTTAGACATTATTGCATTTCATGTACAAACCATGAACCACTGCATTTTCATCTACACACTGACCCCTACCGGTCATTCGGTGTACTACAGGCATCTCAGACATTATTGCATTTCATGTACAAACCAATTAACCACTGCATTTTAACCTACACACTGACCCCTACCAGTCATTCGGTGTACTACAGGCTTCTCAGATATTATTGTATTTCATGTACAAACCAACGAACCACTGCATTTTCACCTAGACACTGACCCCTATCGGTCATTCGGTGTACTATAGGCTTCTTAGAAGTTTTTGCATTTCATGTACAAACCACTGCATTTTCACCAAGACACTGACCACTACCAGTCATTTGGTGTAACTACAGGCATCTCAGTCATTATTGCATTTCATGTGCAAACCAACGAACCACTGCATTTGAGCCTACACACTGACCTCTACCTGTCATTCGGTGTACTACAGGCTTCTCAGACATTATTGCATTTCATCTACAAACCAACGAATCACTGCATTTGAGCCTACACACTGACCTCTACCGGTCATTCGGTGTACTACAGGTTTCTCAGACATTATTGCATTTCATGTACAAACCAACGAACCACGGCATTTTTGCCTACATGCTGACCCTTACCAGTCATTCAGTGTACTACAGGCTTCTCCGACTTTATTTCACTTCATAAGCAAACAAACTAACTACATCATTTTCACTTTTATACTGACTCCTATCTGTCAAACGGTATACTACAGGCTTTTCAGACATATGGTTATTCCCCTCATAACGTTCCCACTATAATTATAATTACACAATAACACTTCCTTACAATCATGCTTACTATCATATAATCATTCCTGCATACCTGCCTTCATAGGCATTTAGTTACATTTACTGACAATACGCATACATTTACCCAAGAATGCACATACTATTTAAAGCACTATGCAGTTTTCCAGAGTCTAATACGGAATATTTGCACGCTTAAAATATAAGTCCTTCCAATTATGTATTTTCACTTATTAGGTTATTCAGCTGCCAGTCATGGTTCACTACACTCATGTTTCAGGGTACAGTTGTGTTCCATATCACACATGATATAACACTCCCGACAAGTTAATTTCCTTCAAACAGGGGCATTACAAGCATACAATAAACATTGGGACAGAGCACTTTGCTCTATTAAACTTGCATAACACGCATATGGATATACGCTTTTAAATGTCTATATTCGATTTTCATACATTGTTTTACCCGTCTGGGATACAGGTATTAATAACCTTTACGACCAGTAAGGGTATCTAATCATACTACCAGGTACATACACCTGCTCATGTGGTATATACATACATTTTCTGTTTCCCCCTGGGTATATCCTTAGCGTACTGGCAATTAGGGACTATAGGTTTCCAATAGATATTTTCCTTTCTTGGCATCTACGCCTGTCGTATAGTGGTCCCGCGAGGCCAACACCCCGCCTCAACGCTCGGAGGCAAACACCCATCGGGCCACTCGTGAGCTAGCCGCCTCGCATGGTATATAGAGAGGGCCTCACCTGTCACTCCCTTCCCCTTTTTTATGGTTACAGTCACGAGAGGCCAACATCCTGCCACTACGTTTGGTGGCCACAAAAATCCCCTCGCGCCATTGCATAGATAGAGCCTCTCAAGCCACTTGGCAACTAGCAGGGCCTCACCTGTCACCAAACAAAGGATTAATTGTTTCGCCTTGCGGCTTTAGCTAGCAAGCCAGTACTAGCACACTGTGGGTTCATATAATAATGGCTATCTTCATGATTTTTAATATGTATCAAGCACGTGATAAGGATTTCTCTCTACCTAACACTCCAGCTAGAGTCAACACATTCACTTGGAGATGTTGCTAGTCCCACAGGACAATTTTGTCCGAGCACAGCGTACGATAACGTTTCAGGCTCCAGGCTCTAGCACCTCTGGTAGAACGTAGCGAACTACCAGAGACAAATTGGGTCGTTTCATTCTCTTTGGCAAATCCCAGATTTGCAACAATTTCCATGTTGGCACATGTAGTTTCAGTGCATGCAGACTGTTGCAGATATGTTCCCAATATGTCAGGGCACATGCAAAAACCATGTGTCCCAATAAATGTACCCTGAACCTTACTTCTCGTCTGTAAACATTATGCATTTCCAGTACTTTCTAACTTATCACCCTTCCAGACATTTAGTTTATTTCCTAATCTCCGATTTTAAAGGCCTTCTGTTCAGGTATTGCCATATATTTTTGGGGGAATCTAGAATGCCCTAACTTGCAGTCATCACAGCAGCATCCAACAGCTGGCATTACACTCATGGCCCAAGAAATGGCAGAAAGATTTCTACCTGGGCCTCTCTGATCTACACCATTTACAGTGTGGCGTAATCCCATTGGGATTGTCACAGGAAATCTTCCCTCACACTGTAACTGATCACAGACTTATCTGCACCTCACGCCTCGGCTTCCCCATAATCTCAACTCCCTCATACCCTCCGAAGAGTTTTCATTACAGTATGCCACCATTGTTCATACCACGACAACTATCACTCAAGCTGGGAGGGGAAGCCTGGTTAAGTAAAACTGATATCACAAACGCATTTCAGACTGCCACCATTCACCCTGCACTGGCACTTACAGGGCATTTATGGGCAGCAGTTATATATTTCTTCTCCCGCTTAACTTTCGGGTCAAGAGCAGCCCACAATCTTCAATATATTCGTTGAACTCTTTACTGGTTGTGGTTAAACATATCCAGATGCCCCACAGTCATACACTCCCGAGATTTCTTGTTGGTCAAAGGGAATGCCTTTCCCTCTAGAAGCTTCAAGGAAGCCATTAGTATGTCTGAACAATTGGGTGTCCCAGTATTCCCTAAGGTCACAGAAGACCCAGACACTATCGTTACATTCCTGGGCATACAACTTGACTCGGCATCCATACCAACAAGTTACCACGCAAGAAATAGGAACAGTCGCAACAACACCAATTACCACCTCCTGCTTGGTACTTGCAACCACATGGAACTACAATCCCTACCAGGTTCCTTAAATTTTGCCATGCACATCGTACCGCAGGCCACGCTTTCATCTCAGACCACTTTGCTTTTTCCTCCCTCCCGAATGATGATCAGGGGCTGTCCCTAGACAACCAAGCCATGGCAGACCTACACATATGGTGGACTTTCTTAACCACACGTAATGGTAAATTATTGTGGCAGCTGCCGTGACAGCCGCCATGGCAGGGGGTCATTTATGGTCAAGGTCATGGATTACATGAACCTTGCCAACATAGCCGGGCTCTGACTAAACTGGCCTTGTCCACCAGCACTCAACACGCTTGCTACAGGGTTTTCCACTTATACAATACGTTTCATGTCGGACCATCACTTAGCTGATTTGAGGTTTCACCACGTATGGCCTTCGCCTCTTTTTTGCCACCTTAAGTTAATAATTCTCGCACAACACGGTTAAACTTTATCTCACGGGCATTCAACACTATACGTATTTCTCCATCCCAAACAACAAGGCTTCCTATCCTCCTACCCCATACATACCTTACTTAGAGACATGGCCAAGCGGACGTTGCCGCTAAAACTAATACTGGCCATAGATATACAATGTTCAAACCATGACAGAACCACTCGACCATGCACTTCCGAGCCACGCACCAATGCAGTTATCAAAACTGCTACCTATCTAGCCTTTAACGGCTTTCTCAAGCCAAAACAATAACTCCCTATCAGCGGCCAACATCATTAACAAGAGTGCCTGTTGACCTCTTATCTTCTAAAACACAAAGACCACTATGTCCGGTCCCTTCCTAAAACTAAGATGAGTCAGAGGGGCGAGCCAGTGCATATAACCTACTACCTTACAAGCAATGCTGGGTGCCCGGTTAAGGTACTGATTACGTTCTTGGGCACGCCACCATACGCACCACTGAACCATTACTGTCGCTGTACGATACTGTCCTTACCACAGGTAAGTTCATGTACTATGTCCACCTACTCATTCATCGTGCTCGAACTAAACCCTAGCGACTACTCAGGACACTCCTTTAGGATAGGAGCAGCTTACACAGCGTATAGCCAAGACATCCCCGCACACGTTAAGACACGGGGCCGCTGGGAATCATAGGCTTATGCAACGTACATACCACAGCCGATTCAGGAATTAGGACGCTTTCATTAAAATGTCTAACTGATGGTTAACAAATGCACTATGATCCTGTATAATGTTTTGCATTAATATGTCTCTTTTTGCCCACTTTTAACCGGCTTACAGCATACGTCGGTTTCGGCACACCTCAACCGATTATTCCTAAAGCTACATCTCTACAACCCATCTTATTCTATATCATATGAGAATGCCCCGAACACAAATTGGAAGGCATGGCCTGAAGTTGTGGGAGGGGCTATAGACCTATAAAAGGGACTCCCCCCTTTCCCTACTTACCTTTGTTGGTCAGACGAATAGCCCCACCCTCCACTCCCATTGTTCATATTTCCTCTATGTAAGCCCACTTTTTACCGGCTTACAGCATACGTCGGTTTCGGCACACCTCAACCGATTATTCCTAAAGCTACATCTCTACAACCCATCTTATTCTATATCATATGAGAATGCCCCGAACACAAATAATAAATGACTACTTTAGTTACCTATGGAGAATTCCATGTTCATGGAGGAATTGCAGCCCACATACCAGTTGAGCAGCAATAAATCTGGTGATAGGAAATTAATATTTTATTAGACGCTTAGAATTTTAGCACAAAGCATGATAAAGACTCTGTAATATTTGTCTATGTGTATCTGTGGAGGATTGACCAAGTTCCTGAAGGTGAAAGAATTTAGAGATGTTCAGGTGAAAACTGTAAAACTCCATTCCCACAACACCTGGTTGAGTTCCATCTGTAACTCCACTGAAACTCCACTCTTATTGTCTATTGTCCTCTTTCTCCTCTTTCCCATTCTCAGTGCCCTTTCTATCGCCCTCTTACACTTTCCATCTCATTTCAAGCATTACCTGACGGTATCAATGTCCATCCTCCATGTTCTTCTAAGTAACTGACTCAGATCTCCTCCCTGCAAATACTGCATTACAAACAGAAGATGGTCCTGTATGCAAACAGAGAAAATAATTCAATTAAATAAGAGTCCACGTTGCATTATATGCTATTTATTATTATTGTAATAAAACGGTTGATAGATGGATATCATCTTATTACCTCAGTGTGGAACATGGCATGAGCATCAGTGAGGAAGCGGCATCCACTGGCCACCTCAAGCACGCGACGTTCTACTAGTGTTTCATCTTCATCATTACCAAGCAGGGTTAGCTTTCTTACAATCTTTACTGCTACCCTCTGATTGGTCATGTTATCAGATGCTAGCATCCCCTGGAGAAGACACACAGATATGGTGGAAGATTACTATTAGAAAAGTAACATTTCTATAAGAATAGTAGAGGAGAGGCTAATAATTATTTGAAAATATAAGAAATTACACCAAATAAACATAACTTGGAGACTGACTATAAGAGGTGCCATCTTCACTAATTCAATCAAGCATTCGGAATGGATCTATATATTCTGAAATCTATAGATCTCTGAGAATGTTTGGGGAGAAGGCTGCTGTTGCCCTTGTTAGGGCAATGTCTATGTGTGGGTTAACATTTACTGGGACGCTGAGAAATGAAATTTATTAGTCTAATACAGGGATAAGCAACCTTCGGCACTCCAGATGTTGTGGACTACATCCCCCATAATGCTCTAACACACATAATGATGGCAAAGCATCAAGGGAGGTGTAGTCCAAAACATCTGCAGTGCCGAAGGTTGCCTATGCCTTAATATATTGTTTATTCTATTTCTCATTATTGTATATGCTTTTATTGATTTTGGCTAGTGCATTCTCGTGGTTTTGCTGCTACACAATTTAACCATACCTTAAAGTGATATCCAAGTAAAAAATTTTGATGTGCAGAAGTTAATCCAACCAGTGAACCAAAATATAGCGATTTGTTATACTGGTGGTCGAATTTAAAATAACGTAAGCTTTAATGTATGCAACAGCTTTTACAGTGGGCTGACCTGAAAATAATCTGACGGTATTTTTTTACTTCAGTGTGAATATTTAGAAATTCAAAGTAAATTCTAAATTATTTTTCAAATTCTTAAAGGACCACTATAGTGCCAGGAAAACATACTAGTTTTCCTGGCACTATAGTGCTCTGAGGGTGCCCCCACCCTCAGGGACCCCCTCCCGCCCGGCTCTAGAAAGGGGAAAGGGTTTAAAACTTACCTTTTTCCAGCGCTGGGCGGAGAGCTCTCTGCCTTCTCTCCTCCTCCGTTACGCCCCACCGGCTGAATGCGCACGCGCGGCAAGAGCTGCGCGCGCATTCAGCCGGTCTCATAGGAAAGCATTTACAATGCTTTCCTATGGACGCTGGCGTGCTCTCACTGTGAAAATCACAGTGAGAAGCACGCAAGCGCCTCTAGTGGCTGTCAATGAGACAGCCACTAGAGGGAATAGGGGGAAGGCTTAACCCATTAGTAAACATAGCAGTTTCTCTGAAACTGCTATGTTTATTAAAAAATGGGTTAACCCTAGCTGGACCTGGCACCCAGACCACTTCATTAAGCTGAAGTGGTCTGGGTGCCTAGAGTGGTCCTTTAAGCTAAATTAGCTCAACTAGAAATTTTTTTTTTTCCCATGCATGAAATTCTGCTAAATTCACTCCTAAGTAATATAACCTTGGAAGTTTACACTTGGGAATAGAAATAAATTGCATTGTAAGAGGGCGTAAAATATGAATAATGGTCCATTAGTTTAAATTTGCTGTAATATAGAAGTAAGGAGATCTATAGCTAGATAAACATTTTTAAAAGGTTATTCTAAATTTTGAATAAATACATATGAGTACCCGTCTAAACATTACATACTTTGCCAAAACTGCCTCTTCCGAGGAGTCGGTGAAACGTAAGCCTGTTGAAAAAGGCATCGGCAGCCGAAGGCTCATGAGTTCTTCCTGTTGAAAATAAAAAAGTAAATAAAATAATTTGCCAAATCTCAATCAAATTGGCCAAGCTTAGTATTCATGATGGTTTTCCATCTAGTATTTACTTGATATCATCACCTTTATCCAGTCAAAATAAAAGCTGTGGCTTGTACATTGTCTTAGGTGACAGTTTGGGGACGTTGTGGAGTGAGCACTTTGAAATGAGTAAAGTGCATAAAACAAGGCAGCATGTATTTTAACCTAGATCTGCTAGAATGGAGCATTTTATACCACAATATCTAGATTACTGATAGCGTCAGTGGGTAATACTATCATTTATTACATCATTATTTCTCATTTGATCCCTAACATTGTAAAATGTGCAGATATAATATACAAGAAAGTAGTGACATTACATTCTAATAGTAATTGGATCTGCAGAACACTACGGTCCTTATTATAAGAGTTTATAGTCTGCTGGAATGTGGAACTTTAGGAAATGTTGATTTTATCCAACTATAGGATTGTATAACATGATATTATTATAATATGATATAACTATATAGTGACAATTGGAATGTACAATGACTTTGTTGAATTGTTATATGACAGTACAGACTATTTTTCTCTATAATTAGATTAATTGTCTTTCATTAAATGAAATGTCATGTTTTCCTTTTTTTTTCTTAATATACATGGACTCATCTGAGACTCGCACTTCCTCCCTTCCTATTATAATTTCTCACCTTCGACTTTCTTATTCTCCACGCTGTCCTCTACTTTTTTTATTTTACATATTGCTTCCTTGCACTCTGGTTCAACACCAGATTGACATATTTTTGAATCCTCATTTTTTTCGTTCAATGATTCCTCTCTCTTTCTTTTCCTATTCTTGCCCGTCATTGTTGGTTGTGTAACGATACAGTAAAAACAACAAGACAATTAGGCAAAATCGCTCAGCAATACAATCGCACTGTTTACCGCTCAAGGTAGTCAAGAGCTGTGACAAATCACTGCAGCTCCTGCAGCTGTATCTCTGTCATATGAATTGTTCTCTTTATGTCATTGTGTGATGTCATCGTAAAGTTGCAGAGAGACATGACTTACAAGCAGTTTATCATGCCTGCTAACTCGTGTGATGTCATGATGAAAATGTTATACTGCAGCTAGACTTGAATAGCATGACCCCACAAAAATAATAAAATATAGATACATTCAAACTACACTATATAAAAATCACATAAAGTATATTATCTCAGTAACTAATTTTCCAGTAAATAGTGAAAATGGCCCTTTATTGCAGCCAAAACAAGCTGTGCCTCTTTTATTAACTAACATTTTAAAATTGTGTTTGTAATATCTAAATGTATTATTTTTTTTCTAAATACAAACACTTGAGACAGAAAAGATAAGTAAAAATCAATTATTTAGTTGAATGAGGTCTGTGATTAACCACGAGTGAATGTCTAAGCAAGAGAGACCAGATTGGGACAGGGGGCAGGGAGACAAATAGCACCAGGGACTCCCTGAATGGCCCATGCAATGGCACAATAAAAACACATTGTGTGTGCGATTTGGTGGTGGCGGTATGAGGGTATGTGAGGGAAGAGGAGGATGGCCATCTGGTTGCTAAATGCAAGGGCTATGTAATGAGGGGCCCTTTAAAAGTGTGGGGGGTCCACGGAGGAAGTGAGCTCAGATCACTTCCTCCCAGCCTGCAGAAAGCCATGTGGAGAGGAATGTCACACATACAAAGGAGAAGGAGGGAGGAGTAGATGTGTCAGAGACTCCCATCAGCCTTGGTCAGCCAGCTCCCGCTGGACCCCATGGGAGCCACCATCCTGCATCCAAATCTTAAGGAAACAGGAGGGTGGTTAAAATATGTAGATACTACATTCAAACACACCCCCATAGGCGTGCGCACAAGGTGTGCCGGGTGTGTCTGGGCACACCCTAATCCCCGCGGCACGCCTATGTATTGAGTCCTGCAGGAACAGAGTTCCTGCACTTTTTTTTTAGCAGGAACGCTGTTCCTGCAGGCACTCAGCGCCCCCAAATGCCCCCCTTCCTCCCCCCATGTTTCCCTTGTCATGGGGAGGCCAAAAGGGGATGGACCCCCCCATGTCGGGTGCCTGTCTCCAGATCAGACACGGCGAGGGAGCGGTGTCCACTCTGCTCCCTCGCGCCGTTTGCTGATGCCGGGATCTGGCATATGACGTCATATTCCGGCTCCCAGCTACTGTAGACAGCCCGCACGGCGAGAGGCAGCAGCGTGGACACCGCTCTCTTGCCGCGTCTGATCTGGAGACAGGCACCCGACCCACTGGACCCCAGGGACAGGTCCACGTCAGCTCTCCAGGTAGGGAGGCTGAGTGGACATTTTTTGATTTAAAAAAAAATTATTTGTATGTGTGTGTCTGTGAATGTGTGTGTGTCTGTGAATGTATGTGTGTGTCTCAGTGTGTGTGTGTCTGTGAGTGTATGTGTCTGTGAGTGTATGTGTCTGTGAGTGTATGTGTCTGTGAGTGTGTGTGTCTGTGAGTGTGTGTGTCTGTGAGTGTGTGTGTCTGTGAGTGTGTGTGTCTGTGAGTGTGTGTGTCTGTGAGTGTGTGTGTCTGTAAGTGTGTGTGTGTCTGTGAGTGTATGTGTCTGTGAATGTATGTGTGTGTCTGTGAGTGTATGTGTGCACGCGTATATATATGTGTGTGTCTGTGTATGTGTGTCAGTGTGTGTGCGCACGCGTATGTATATGTATGTATATATATATATATATATATACACACACACACACACACACACACACACACACACACACACACACACACACACACACACACACACGTGTATATTATTTTTTTTGGGGGGTGGGAATCTTGGGAGAGTTCCCACACTTTATTCCCCAGCACTTCTCTGGAGATCTCCGGTTTTCCCCTGTCGGCTCACGCAGAGTCTGCACTATCTGAGTGCTGGCTCTGCTCTAAGCCTCGATGGGCTGGTGGGAGAACAAAGATCTACCTCACCAGCCCACAGCAGCATGGAGGGAAGCAGGAGAGGACCCGGGGAGCTCTAGACAGCAGTTCCGCCAGGTTCCTCTCACGAAATCTGAGCATTGCCACTGCAACGCTCAGATCTCGAGAGAGTTAACTCTAGCCCCCTGGACCACCAGGGATGGCATATGGCAGCAAGGATCCCCCCTCCCTACATAAGATAAGAAGGGAGAGGGGGTATTTACTAATCTGCCCCCACCTCCACAATCCCTCCAAACATACAGCACACACACACAAACACATACAGCACCCTCACACAAACAGCACCCCCACACACAGTACACTAACAGCACCCTCACAAACACACACAGCACCTTTATAAACACACAACACCCCATTAGTCTAGGGGTTCACATACTTTTTCCACCTGCACTGTGAATGTTTACATGGTGTGTTCAATAAAAACATAGCAACATTTCATTCTTTGTGTGTTATTAGTTTAAGCAGACTGTGATTGTCTATTGTTGTGACTTAGATGATGATCAGATCACATTTTATGACCAATTTATGCAGAAATCCATATCATTCCAAAGGGTTCACATACTTTTTCTTGCAACTGTATATATATATATATATATATATATATATATATATAAAAATATATATATAATACATATATACACATGCGGCGTGTGTTTGTGCTTTAGGGTGCACACCCTAATGCAATAGGCTGCGCACGCCTATGTACACCCCTCCATTCAAACACCATTACTGCACACACACCCCTGCATTCAAAATCAATTACTGCACATACACCCCTGCATTAAAACACCATTACTACACACACACACACACCTGCATTCAAACTCCATTACTACACACACACCCATCCATTCAAACACCATTACTACAAGCACATTGATGTGTTCTAATGCATTGAAATGCATAGACTACACAAACACACAATTGCATTCAAACGCTAATGCTACATACGAATACACCACTGCTTTCAAATGGCAGCAGTACACACTAACACACCCCTGCATTCATGCATACATTCTCCATACAATAACATGCACACATTCAAACACACAGACACTGCTCACAAATACAACCCTGCTAGAATGGGTAATCGGTAGATGCCCAGGTAGATAAGCAATGTGGGAGTTGTATGACAGTCGAGGATCTACCTAAAAAGATGGGTCAATTTAATTGTAGAAAGAATCAAACCCCCTTGTGCTGTCTGGGCATGTCACTAGAGAAGTAGTCAGGCAGTCAGAGAGGGAACTCCTATGTGGTTTATTCATTTCCTACTCATGTGTAAATGGGGGGCTAGTTGCTGCACTACAGTCCTCTGGATTGTACTTGCCCACTGGGCCGAGAGTTGCCAATCAGCCACTGCCCGTAAAGAAGGCCATGGGAGAAAAAAATAGACGTAATAAACACAATAATACCAGCACCACCATTGATGTTTTACAGTGGGCTGTCCTGAAAATAATCTGACGGGATTTTTTCACTGCAGTGTGAATATTTAGAAATTCAAAATAAATTCTAAATTATTTTTCAAATTCTTAGGCCAAATTGGCTCAATTAGAAAAAAAAGTTTCCATGCATGAAATTCTGCTAAATTCACTCCTAAGTAACGTAACCCTGGTAGTTTACACTTGGGAACAGAAATAAATTGCATTGTAAGAGGGCGTAAAATATGAATAGTGGTTCTTAGTGTTTATTATGTAAATCTAGATAATAGCTCATACTGGTATAAACATAAGAAACAAAGATTAAATCCAAGAAGTGTTCCAAGGAAAACCATAAATTAGTAAAGTTAGCACCCAGGACCGCTCAGTATGTCACCAGCTCCTCCATGAATCTATATAGAGTCATTCTGAAAGTATTAGTGGGAATGATGCCCGTGAGCAGTTGAATGAGAACATGTGTAGGATATGGGGTAAAATGGAGAGAATTCAAAAAGAGAACACGTTAAGCAGCTCACTGTACTGGTCCCTGTACTGTATGTTCCCTACAATGCCCGGGTGTCCTGACGGAGTGCTAGGCTTCCGTCTAGTCTTAGAGACATTTTATTTTTATAGAACGGGTTCCAGAAAAGCCAAAGAAATTACTTGATTTCATATAAAACCATTTACAAACAGCTTTCTATAGACCGCGAATCTTCTCATTTTATATTTACTCTTTCATCATACCTGGAAAATCTGCAGCCTAATAAAAATTAGAATGACTTTTGAAGGACAATAACCATATTTTTATAATGTAATTTTTTTTGTTGTAAATTTATGCTGAATTAATGTTGGAGTTTAAAACCAGCTCTAATATATGCAGCGTGCAGTGGTAAAGATCCGAACTGATGGATACAACAGCGTCTTGGTGTGGTTTTGTAACAGCAGAAAGGGACAATAAAAAGCAATAGAAAACAATATAGTTTGATTAAAACAGTTAATAATATTTGGAGCCTTACTTACATTTTTTTTTAAAATATATTTAATCTTTATTAAGCTTTTCTATTTTTTCTGCAAAAGCATAACACATATCCATATTAAAAAAAGCTTACATAATTTAAGACAAACCCTTACATTACAAACATATATACAAATACATACATAAATAGTAACATAGGACTTGGTGTTAGAGAATCTGTAAGTGACTTCCTTGTCTATACAAAGCAACCTTCAGATATATAGTCATACGGATAGGCCCATATCTTCTCTCCCTTCACTGTTCTTCACCCATTTCCTTAAGCAAATTATTCCAAAGAGAATACTGGGTGTTGTCATTGTTAACGTATGACATTATGCCTCTTTCCATTCTACATTGGAAAATAAACTGGGTCTTAACCACAGGCCAATTAGTTAACTTTGTTGATTTCCAATTTTTTGCTATGTGTAGTTTTGTTGTTGTCATTAAATGCATAAAGATTTTTTTTCTCAACTTGGTTCAGCCCTTCTAAAGACATATGTAATAGTGCCCTCATAGTGGTAAGGTCGAATTTTCGTCCTAACCAGTTCAAAAATAATTCCTCAACTTTAGCCCTGATTGATCTTAACAAAGAGCAACTCCACCATACATGCATCTGGTCCCCCCTAGATCTATTACATCTCCAGCATTGGTCGGTGCTATTTGGATACAGTCTAGCAATACTGACGGAGACCAGGTACCATCTATTCATTAACGTAAATTGTAATTCATTAAGGTTTAAACAGTGAATAGCTCGGTAAGGTAATTTCAAAGAGGGATTCCTGTTTAAGTGTGAAATAGGCAATTGAAGCTCTTTTTACCATTTATTTATTGCTGTCGGGACATGATCTGTCTTTAGATTTTTTAACAAGTGATGACGTTTTGTCGTCAGTTTTTTTATAATCTTTCTGCTGGATCATGTTATTCAAAAGCTGTCTGGCTGTACACGTATCGTTTCTATCTACATATTTATTGAGAATACATTTTACTCTTAGATATTTCAAAGTTTCAGTTTGGTATAGTTTATATTCTGTTTGTAGGTCAGTCAGTGGTTTTATATCGTTGCCTTCTAGCAGATCTCTAATATATAATATCCCTTTTTCTGTCCATAAAGAAAGGTCTAAATCTTCAGCTAAATATGAAATAGAAATTAAAGGTAAAGATGGTAGAATTTTATTTTGTAGACCCATTTAATTTCTAGTCACTTTCCAGTTGCTTAAAATCTGACGGAGTGCTAGGCTTCCATCTAATCTTAGAGACATTATATTTTTATAGAATGGGTTCCAGAAAAGCCAAAGAAGTTCTTGATCTAAATTCACCGCAAAAACCATCCTTCTTTTTGACTATTCTTGTTTTGTGTAATTATTGCATGCATTAATATAGCTGCCTGAGTATAGTCTTGTATTAAGGAAATCCTTGGCCTCCTTTCTCCTTTTATTTGGATAAGATTTGAAAACCCAGTCTTGGTTTCTTACCTAACCATATAAAACGGTTAAAATCCGATTGTATAAGCTCCAACTAGGGCATTGGTGCCATTAAAGGAAGCATTCTAAAAATATTAAGAAACTTCGGGAGTATGTATGACTTTATTAGATTTATTCTACCACACCAAGATATCTCTAGTCCCTTCCAATTCTTTAAGGATCTATTCATCTGTCTAACATATTAATCTCCATCCAATTAATTGGATTTAAATAAATATTTATACCCAAATAAGAAAACTGATGTTCAGCCCATGTAAAACCATTTAATCGATCTAGTTGCTTTATTTCTCTTTCAAATTTCAATTTACAGTTTTCCCTAAGTTCAACTTGTAATTTGATACTTTGCTTCATACTTATATTATTTTCATAATTTTTCTGTAAATAACTTACATCTTATAGAGCAGGCAAACCACTCTTGATAGTAGCGTAGGCGATAGGTTCCCCACCACAAGATTCTATGTCCAAAGATCAGCGGTGAAAATGTATCTTAGGATGCCAGGATTCAAATTAGGGATAATGGTAAAATAGCTAAAAAGTAAAAAATATACGGTAACACCAAAGGGCAAAAGCCAAAAAATAACTTTATTGCTGTAAAACAAGTAAAAACAAGTCAAAGTAATAATCTGCAATGTATTTCTTATTAAAAAAGACTCTATCAAGTGGAATTACACAAGAACCTGGGTTACATAGGGTGGTAAGTCATGGTAAAAATTACATTTATAGTCATAGTCACATGATCGTGATCTCTGTCACATGTATGAAATGATAAACTGGATAAAAGATGTATATATATATATATGTATTCACAAAATTTCCAAATGGAAGGGTAAGGCTCAACAAAATGTGGTAAACGGTTAAAAGAGTTTAAAAAAGC